GATAATTAAATGAATGAGGAAAGGAGATTCGCTTAACAACGTGTGAGTAATAGAAGAACTGCAGTTTAACATCTGTGGCTAGAGGTCGCAAAACGGGGCAAAACCTGCTTATTGATGGAAATTCTGGTCTGATCGGCCGTCATAAGTCGGGGACTATCTGTGTTTGTTCAATAAAAGTATAGGCTAAAGCGGAGGTAAGCGAGAAACAGTCCCGTGTCTTGTTTTTCAGTGCTGTCACTAAACAATTGGTCGTAAGTCGAGGATTAGCTGCACTTGGCAGCCATTTCTGTCTAACCTTCCGTTTGAAACCAGTAGTAGTTACTTTAGGAATGGATACTCACCGCTGAGGCTTGTTATGGCAACACACAACATAGTTGGAAAATGTTCTCGCTTGGGGAGGACACATTTGGTGGCTGGAAAAAAAATCTTTTTTTAATTGCTTGGCAAAGAAGCGTCGTATTTCTGGAACGCCGCCTCTGCCTTCAAAGGCTCGTCGTTACGTGGGAGTAAATTCTTCGGATCCCAGTGTGCAAAGCTGGATTACGATCACTTAAGCCAGCATAGTTTTAAGAGGGGAGGACTCCGACTCCCAGAATCCCCCAGCCAGGATGTTTTAAGATGGATAGACTTCAACTCCCAGAATCCCCCATGTTTTAACAGGGATGGACTCCAACTCCCAGAATCCCACAGCCAGCTATGCTCTAAGAGGGGAGGACTTCAACTCCCAGAATCCCCCATGTTTTAAGAGGGGAGGACTCCAACTCCCAGAATCCCCCAGCCAGGATGCTTTAAGATGAATAGACTTCAACTCCCAGAATCCCCCATGTTTTAACAGGGATGGACTCCAACTCCCAGAATCCCACAGCCAGCTATGTTTTAAGAGGGGAGGACTCCAACTCCCAGAATCCCCCAGCCAGGTTGCTTTAAGATGGATAGACTTAAACTCCCAGAATCCCCCATGTTTTAACAGGGATGGACTCCGACTCCCAGAATCCCCCAGCCAGCTATGTTTTAAGAGGGGAGGACTTCC